TTAAATTATAACTTATACACATATCCCACTATATAAACAAGTCTATTTTCTTGTAAACTTTCGATGTGGGATTCCTTACCATATATAAGACACTTAAATGGGCTTATAACATATGGGCCTATATTGGAGACTTTTCCAATTCACCCAAATTAATTACAACGGCCCACATCATTAAATAACATATTTAATGACCCAAATAAACATCATTAAATAACATATTTAATAATTCAAATAAATCAATTAATTCCAACAGTTTTAACTATAAATAGCATTATTTTTATTTGTCTAGCATTTGAAAAAGAGGATTTCAAATAAGTTCTACCACTCCAAAACTCGATAAAAAAACATGCTTGTATAATTTACAAATGTAAAATAGAAACGAAAGATTATAGACCAAAATATTCAATATAGAAAGTTAGGGATTAATCGCACGATTTTCCTTATTGGCTACTTTCCCTATCAATCACCACAGCTGTAGTGTCCTCTTTTTCGAAAATGCTTGGAGTTGGGGCCCCATTTGTTGCAATTTGTTTTTTCATCCAATCAACTTCAAGGGTGGAGTAATATAAATATTGAAAATTGTCAAATATAAGCGAAATTACGAAAATATATTTTTTCTTAAAAACATAATTTCAGCGTACTAAATTATCAAATAAATATTACTAACCCAAGTACACAATAATTTGTAGCAAATGGGTTAAACCTTATTCTAACAAAATCATATTTAATAATCAAAGTCGATAAAAATTTGAAATGTCACGTAAAGCTTGGTCAAGTTAAAGATGGAAAATAAGGTTAAGTACAACTAAACATATTCCCCATTGCCAAATTTGGCAATTAAGCCCTCATTTTTGACAATTATTATTTGAAAACTCTTTATTCTACATACTCATTTTCAATCACATTCAAACGACAAAATATTTTGCAAGTAAATTCAAAAAATTTCCCTACTTTTTAGCCACATATTCTTCTAAAAATCAATATTCAAATAATTATTTTTTCTAAATAATCGCCGGGCTAAATAAATCTTTTTATTAGACGTTAAATTATCACGTAACGGTCACATTTACGTGAATAATCTACACAAATAATTTTCATCTCAAATGAAGTGAGCATCAAGAAAGAATGTCTACCATAAAGTTTTTTTTTTTTTAATTATTCTTATTAATGGAGTTGGTGGGACTTGGCATGAGTCACACCAGATGTATATGCGTTTGTCCACCGACACTTCCACTATATACATATATACTCTCACATATCAATACAGCTGTATTTTGTAAAAAATTAATTTCTTTTTCTTTTTGTGGGATAAATTAGGCGTGTTACTCTATTCATCAACTAAATCAGCGAGTGTAGTCGCTGATGCAGGACAACAACGTGAATAATAACAAAAGAGATCTTGTTCGTAACACACGAATATGTGTTGCTCGAATGAATGCTAGAAATATTGAAATACACCATATACAGATTTATGATTTTTTTTTTCTAACTGTTCCACATCAATTGCACTAACCAAAATGCAGGGCTTCAAACCCTACATGCCGAGCGTGATTCTTTTAGGGTGATTAAAAGTTTGAATGCAAAATCTAGTGTAATACGAAACTCTTTGATTTCGTTGGATATTGTAGCTTTAACAAGGAATGGATTGTAGTTCATACTTTTCTACTCCAAGAAATCGAAATAATACCGTCCACAAACTTGCTTCTTTCAGTATCTCATACCTTATTATTTAACTCGAATTGATAGTATACTTTCTATTTTCTTATTCAATGATTTAAAATATTTTTTTAACGGTGTTTGTTAATTTTTATTTTTTTATTCTTTTAAAAAGAAAGTTCAGGTAGTATAATTCGAGCATATAAATACAGTTCGAAAAGTTGTTAAAATAAATTCGCTTTTTGATTGTGCTTGGACAAGAATATAATAAGAAACAAAATCCCATTATGAAAATAAATACACTCTTTTTCAAATAATAATAATAAAAAAAGAAGCAATACATTAAACTTTTTTTTTTCCCATTTAAAGAAAAAATGAAAAAAGAAATGAAACCTTTTTTTTATCAATCAAATATTGCACACAAAAACTCCAAGAAACAAACTGAAGATTCCTTTAATAAACCACCCGCCATGGATTCCGGCAGCCGCATTACTATTCGTCGTCTCATCCGCCGGCACAGAGTCGTCGTCTCCGGGAGCCGGAGCATCTGCATCCTCCTCACTACCACTCTTAGCCTTAGACTTGGCTGGTTTCGGCGATTTCGGAGCCGGAGCAGGCGGCGCTGCCTTGAACAGCTCTCTGGGCAGCAAAATCTTATCAATTTTGAAAACTGCCAGCGGATCTTCATCAATCACTGTCCCTTTAATAGTTGCAGTCACGACTTTAGTCTTCAGTTTCACGTCTTCTCCATCGTTTTGTACTGTAAAATCGTACTTATTGGCTCCTTCTGTAGCTAGAGTGTTCATCAATCCATTGCTGGATCTCAACATACCCAAAGATTGGTAAACAGGAACCCCATGATACAAAAGCAATGAAATTTTACCATCTGAAGTCAAATTTTTGTATTTTGGCATGAAATTGTTTATAGATTCATCTGTTGGGCAAAAAACTGTTAACCCACCTTCAACACTTTGTGAAAAAGTGTCGGCGGCACCGGAGCTTGTCAACAGATCGGAAAATGCCTTGCAGCCCTGTTTCGCCATTAATGAAGTGACGTTCAGATCTTTGGGTCCTCCGGCCGGAGCTTCAGCTTCCGGCGAAAGCAGTACATGGCTGATTTGGATTACAGCAACGACATAAGGGATTTCATCGATTGATTTGACGAATGTGGATGTTGCTTCTTCTTCGCTGTCTTGTGGTGAAAAGTAGACTTTGCCCCCTTTGGAATTGGTGATGTTCACGTAGCCGGAAGTGCCGGCGGCCTCGCCGGTGGCCTGGAAGAGGCTGGATGTGGTGGTGGAGCCTTTCGGGATCTGGTGGAGCTTTTTGGCACCGAAGTAATCAGCAAAGATGTGTAAAGAGAGGACATTTTTGATAGTGTAAAGGGAGAAGTGTTTGTCGAGGATTTCGCTCATGGCAGCATTGTCGACGGCGCAGACGGTGATGGTGCGGCGGCGGTTGATCTCTGCCGCCAGATGGGTGACGGTGAGGTAGTGATTGAAGGTGGAGAATTCAGGATGTTTAGCTAGGATTTGAGTAATGTTGTGTGCATGAGTGGTGGCGGAGAGGAGTGAGAGCACCAAAATGGTGAGTGCCGACACGACAACTTGCCTCATTGTCAAGTGATTACTTTGGAAGACACTTGGTTTCAACTTTCAACTTTATATATAATACCAACTTTGTTGGGAGCTTTACTCTTTTTTCTTACTTGTATGATTAGTAACGTATATGGTCCGGACTCTCACCCACATGATCATTATTGTCAAAAAAATAATATTTTATTTGAGTCACATTATTTTAAAAGAATGTATTTTAGAATAGTAAATTGATGGAGAATGTATAGTTGAAAAAGAAGGAAAATTTATTGATGTGATGAAAAATATTATTTTATTAAAAAATGTGTGGTTGAAAATAAGTATAAGAATGATAATAAAAATTTTAATATGACACAAACAGGGGCATAGTACTTTTGTAGAGAATGTCTGATTAAAAAATAGGCAAAATGAGGATTGAATGCGTATCTTATTTTTTAGCCCCTATTTGATCCCCATTATGCGACAATTCAATTTTTTTTTTCAAATTTATTTTTAATCATACTTTTTTCAATAAAATAATTTTGTAGGTAAACCCAAGATTTCTCTTACATTTTAACCACACATTTTCTAAAAATCACTATTACAAAACTAATTTTCACAAAAATATTGGGTTTAAACAAAGTTTCAAATGTATCAAGGTTTCAAAATATTTGTTTATTGTCGCATTTATTTCCCCACATTTTTCTTGTGGTGTTCTTTTATTGTCTCGCCCCTTCTCACCTATTTCATGCCCTTGATTGGTTCGGGAGGCTCTTAAGTAACAAGGCTAAGGGATTGGATAATGAGTAATGCTACTTGCAGTCGCTCACTGCAGCAGTCGCCATATATGGCACATACATGATATTTAGTTATTTGATGCATTAATGTGGTAATTTTTTACCACATTTAATGCATCAAATACACACTTGACATTTATATGCTACATAGGGCGACTGCTGCAGTAAGCGACTACAAGTAAGCATTATTCTTGGATAATGGACAGAGGGAGAAGGTGGTTTGACTTGAGAATCGGAAGGGACACACACTGGAGAAGGCGAGAGAACGAGAGGCAAAGATGAAGATCATTTTTACTTCAACCATTATAACAAAAATATTTCGAAAAATTGTCTGTGCCCTTTTTTGAAAAAAAGATATATTGTTGAACAGTGTTTTGACCTTATTTCAACCATAAATTTTTCAATGAAATAATATTATACTCAAACCCAAAATTTTTCATTATCTTTTAACCACACATTTTCATCAATAGTTTTTTTTTACAAAAATAGGACTCAATATGTTATGATTACACATGGTACGTACGTTAGGTCAAATTAGATTGAATTAAAAATACATAGAAATATATCACTTCTTTCTTCTTAAATTACATCTACTTGAACCCATCAAACTAATATCTCAAGAACAAACCGACAAGCCTCAATCAATTAAATAATTTCTTCTGGACTACAACTCAATATGTGGTGGTTTTGTAGTGAAATCATATTAGCTGTCATTATATTTAAAATATTCAACCTCTAACATTTATCATTATATGTTGTTGGTGGTGTTAGAATTTGAATGAAACAATTGGGATTGGGTGACTAAATTTCACTGAACTTTTAGTGAAATCTCACTCAACTTTAACTTCGTTTCACTTGGGTTTTCATCCTTCGTCACCTACTTCTCCCAAGTCGAAGAAGTTTACTCCATCGACAATCACAACAAAATTATGCTGTGATAAGTCACAAAAGATTTTTAACATTTTAATCTAAAGATAGTGCTATAACCTCCAGATTATTATTTTTGCTATTAAGGTGTCACATATAGATTACATGAAAGATCAATTTTCCGTCAAGTTGGAGAATGATAGCTAGTTGACGGGACAAAACGATGAAATTTGAAATTATATTGAAATTCACTGACTCAATAGTGATATATTAAAACTTAGTGATCTAATTGAGATTTCGTTGAAAGTTCGGACAGAAAATGAAATTACCCATTGAGGTTGGGTTGGATTAAATTATTTTATGGACTAGTGTTGGGTCCACTCGATTGATAATGGACGTTGGATTTTGTTTCCCATTATCATTAATAAGCACTTTGAACTAAGTAAATACTTATGACCACTTTAATTGATCTTTTAGTTTTATTTGTTTTCTTATGGATCATTGTAAGTAATTTGGGGAACCAAAGGGTAAACATATTTTAATTTTAAATCTCATAATATCATAGCTATAAAATAACACAACTCCAAGACAATAGTATGATCATTGAGCAAAGAACTTTATCGTTGAATGCAAATAATTTACCAATATTTGGACTCGTGAACAATTTATATACTTGTCGAGTGATGGTGTATAAGTAAAAATGAAAGTAATTATATAATTTTACTCTATGATTTGTGCACTTATCAAGACACACTGACATTAACATTGATATTTCAAGTACAATAAGAATTTCTATCGTCAACAATTAATGTGTTCGAAAAAGAAAAGCAAAAGCCTAAAACTAAAGAATAATATTATTTAATGCATTAATATGATAAAAAAATCACATTAATGCATCAAATAACTACATGTCATGTGTGTGTCACATAAGGCGAATGCTGCAGTGAGCGACTATGAATAACATTACTCCCCTTAGTGCTGATTCGTTCCGTTTCAAAAAATAAAAAGAACCCTTAAACTCCAATGAACAGAATTATCAAATTTCAAAATTGTACGTTCCAATTTGTGTGAAAATGAAGAAATATGTCATCTTTCTTTAATTCACCCGTAGTTAGTAGTAAATCTTGGGATTTGGGAATCCTGGAGTATTAAAATTAATTAATTAATTCCACGGCCACCATTTCGTCTGGTATATATATATATATATATTAAATCTTCAATTATAGTGATTCCTTCATTTTAATAATTTTCTTAGTCCAACCATCGGATCATATGTCACTCTCATAGACATGCAAATATTATTATCACTACTACATTAAAAGAG